TCTGGTCCTGCTGCTTTCCTTGCGCTCACTCTCCTCAGCGCAGCTCTGACGTCATGCTCTGCGATGCTGATTGCTGGTCCCTATTGTCAGGCAGTTGTTAGCAATTGTGTAGCAATTGTCCAAGATTCTGTCTCCCCTCATCGGACACATGACATGTTGATAAAAGTTCGGCATGAGATGTCCAAGGTTTGCTTTATTAAAGTCTCCTGCGGGTCCTTGTTTTGAAACGCACTCAGCACATCATGTAGTTCAGACAGAGCCTGTGTTCACCTGGGGTGGGATGTAGACCACTGTGGCGATTAACGAGGTGAACTCGCGGGACAGGTAAAAAGGGCGACACTTCATGCTCAGGTATTCCAGATGTGGCGAGCAGCCGCTGAAGAGAGTAGAGATGCTCCTGACGTCGCACCACTTTCTGTTTACCATGAAACACACTTCTCCACCTTTGGTTTTGTTTGACTCTGCCGTTCTGTCCGCGCGGAGCACAGAGAGTGACTCTGATGGAATTTCTGCCCGATCTGCCACGTTGGGGGTCAGCCATGTCTCAGTGAAGCACAGAATGTTGCAGTCCCTCATGTCTCGTTGGAAGGTGACTCTTGCCCTCAGATCGTCTAGTTTGTTCTCCAACAATTCAACGTTGGCTAGCACTGGGCAGTGGTGCGCAGTGAGTAAATATGTCGATTTATTCATAGTTTCATGCAACTGTCAAATTCTGTTTCTTTGAAAAATATTAAAATGCCATCTGCTTGTCTGTTCCAGCAGTCTGGCTCTATTCCATTTGAATGCAATAGGGACATAGTCTCTAGACTCTGAAATATTAGATGTGATTTAATGTCTTGCAACAGCGTCTGTGTTTCATAGTGCAACATGTGTTGCTATAGTGGACAATCAGGCATTTAGGCAAGAAAAGCATGTAAGTTACTAAGAGGAAGAGATCGGCCCAGTCTAGACTGTATGGATAAGTGGGTTGGGGGGTGGGAGCTGTAGTGATTATGTATTTATCAAATCTGTCCATTGAGAAAATCCAACAGTTATGTCTTTGTCCCAACTGCCCACCATGGTGTCTGCTGAGAGGTTCCCCCCCTCCTGCACCATTATTTTCTAGAATAGCAACAGCTGTGTTCATGTATTGCTTGTTCAGTCCATTATTTTTTCCTTAAAGCTTTCTTGAGCTACTTCTTGTAGTTGAAGATATTTTTACTTTGCAATGGTTGTCCGTGGTTGGTTATTATTACGCTTTAATACTAAACAGTCTGTGCAGTAGAATGTGAAGTTTACGGTTTTTGTAGGTAGTTTAAGCTGAGTAGTCATGTGGAGTTCTTCCATTGGGGCAATTCTAGCCTTGAGTTAGACAAGTCTGCTTTTTATGGAAGAGATTTCTTAACAAAAATGGAATAGAAGATTTTTCCAGGATGGAGCAGGAGTAGCAGATTATAAAATGCTCTGTTTAAGCATAACTGTGTCACTCTATCTATGACCAATCTCTTTAAATGTCTTCATGGTCTTCTACTGGTGATCCCCACCAGTTTTGGTGGCCTAATGACAGGAAGTAAGAGAACTGCTACTATCAGGTACTATTAGGCGAACTAAAATGTATACGGTATGTAAAACAGTAAAGACTATATACTGAATTCAAAATCCTGCTCCTCACATACAAGGTCTTAAATAATCAGGCCCCATCTTATCTTAATGACCTTGTAGTACCATATCACCCTATTAGAGCA